GGATCGCAACCCTCGGTGTTGCTCCCGCACCTCGCTCAGCCAGTGAGCGGCCCGTCTGTATGTGGGATCCGAACCCTCGGCGGGAGCGCCGCCGCGCTTCCCAAGCGGTGCACTGTAGCAGTGCGCCACCGGGCCGGCCCATATACATGTTTTTAAGAGAAGGAAATACTGTTAAATGTCTAAGTCAAAACTGAAATGGTAGCAAAAGGTATTAAATACAATTATGTTGAAAGGCCCAACACATGATATTCAATATGGGTTCATTTGCTCTAGGTAGGAACTTCACATTAATAATTTCTCAGTGGTGATTAAGAGAATGGGCTCTGGAACCAGATGGCCAGTGTTTAAAAAAAAAAAAAAAAAAAAGTCCTCCTTCCCAGTGGGACTCTGTGTGCCTGGGGGACAGCGGAAAACCTCTGCCCTGGAAGGTAAGGGCAGCTCTCCTCTAGGCATCTAGGGAGCAGCTTAAGCCTCAGCTGCACCCGCGTTACCCCGCACCGAGGCTAGGCGTTTCCCTTTGCAGGGCCCAGGGTGAACTCGCCTGCCAACTCGGCACTACACAGCTTCTCCAGCAGGGGGCGAGAAGGGGCCCGCAGCGGCGCGCGGACCCGAGTCCTCCATTTAAGGTGTGAAGCCCCAGCCTCGGATCAACTAACAGACATATATTTAAAATCTGATTTAGGGGTACCGGAGAACCAAATGAACCTCCAGGTCTGGCAGTCTGTTTCCATTCCCTCCCAGAAATGCGTCGAATCCTACCGCGCTCCGCGGCTTTGGAAGGCATTTGCAAGGCATTTGCATTTACATACGCGGTGATTACTTGAGTCACTAGTACACACAGCCTAACTAGGAGTTTAATTGGAAATGTTAATCAATGCAATATTGGTGTCTGATTTGCACATTCGGTCAATTATCTGTAGGTTGGGGCAATCTGCGCTGCACCCAGGGGATGCAATGAGCTACAAATCAGTGCAGCTACAGCTGGGTCTGGGGGAGGAAAGCAAAATGGGGGAGGTGGACCTTGAAGACTGGGAAGAGATTAACAATTTACTGGTGGGGAGAGGGAATCGTTCCAAAGGTGTGGTCACAGAGAGGGCCTGATCGCTGAGAGCACCCACAGTGGAGGGGGAGGCTGGGGTTTTCCCGTGAGGTGGGAGGGGGCTGGATTTGAAGAACAAAGTTTTTTACGCGCTGGAGGACCAGGAGCTGGAGTGGAACGAATCCCGGGAGTCAGAAATCAGGCATTCTGGTCTGAGTGTGTCTTTCCCTCCCTGGGCCTCAGTTTCCTTGTCTCTCAAATAATGGAGTTGGATTAGATGTTCTCTCTGATGGAAGTGACATTTTAGGAAGTTGGTTTATTTATTCTTGGTAGTGAAGACAGGTCCACTAAAGTACAGCCCTCCCCAATGCCACCCTCAAATTACCCCTTCTAAATCATGCTCCCTATTTTTTGCCCTCTCGTTTGAGGGAAAACAATATTAAACAAATAGCCTTACAACCACTACACATTTTATCTCTTTCAGCAATGTGGCTTTACATTTATTTCATGCAAATGGGGAACAGAAGGGAAAAGAGAAGTCCAAGTCGAGAATCTGCTAGGGACCCTAAAACCAAGCCCTGAAACGCTCTGCATGGGGGTCTTATATATCTAAGTAGGATGAGTGGGCAGCAGATATTCCCTAGTGACCCTTATTCCTTAACTCAGTCTCAAAACAGAAGGGTTTGGCATGGAGGTAAAGAAAGGTCTTGGCTTGGGGCGTATATCCCTTTCCTTTGTGTCCTTTTCCCCCATCTCCCACTGAACTCCTGGGACTTTTTGGAATTCTGCACCCTAAAGAGACACTATCAGTAGCAATCAGCACAATATCGCCCTCTAGTGGTCTCAACGGGGACACCTTTGAAAGAGCTCTCCATGCATGCAGTGGCCCAGCCTAGGCACCAATGCCCCTGTGCCCTATTACTCCCTGTAGAAAAGGGCACCAGTACTTCCAACCAGCCTGAAGGACGGACTCAGGCAGCTGCTGCTTCCTGCAGGTTCTTCTCCTTTTCACATATGGATGGGGCTAGGGGTTTAGAGAGGGAGTCCTCGCCCCCGCCCCCCACCAACCCCAGTGCTGTTTCCTTCTTTGGGCCTGAAAAAGGTTCTAAAACTCCTTTCCCAGAATTCCTCAGTGCTGAGAAAGGCACTTGCCATGGGAGGGCTCTGTGGTAGAAAGAGTAGTTGTCCACAACTTCTCCCTACCCCCAACCCCAAGGTGGCAACCCTAATCTTCAGACAGGGATTCTGGCAGGAAACTGGAATGCAGCAAAGTGGTGGAGGTGGTGCTGGGGTATTGGGTATGTGTGCGATGTGTACACTGATCCCTACTCTGGTCTCCTACAGCAGGCTGAATTTCAGGTGCACAGCAAGGCAGTATAGACACATGGTGCAGGGAGCACAGATACACGTGACCCAGCATGTACACACAGGGCCCCCCCCCACACACACACCCAGCACAACACACCTCCAGGGAGGTGAGAGGAGTGTGGCCACCATATGGAGTGCCGTGTCCTGCCGGTTGCCTCTGCACTGGCTCCAGCTGCACAACCAGTGGGTTCAAGGCAGGCTGCCATAGAGCTAATAAGCAGTGTTACAAATGGGGGGAGGTGGAGGTAGGCTTAAGGAAAACTCTTGATCTTGCTCAAAAACATGGAGGTTCTTGGTTTGTGTAGGCTGGTGGGTCCCCCTCCCCCTCTCTCCCCGCTCTTGTGCTGTCCCACCACCACAGGAGGATTCTGCCTCCCCAGCTGGTCCTTAGCCCCAGGGATGCACAGGGGACTCCTTGAGGCCATTTTTCCTGTGGCTTCCTTGAGCTCCGCCCCTCTCTGGAGCTTTGGCAGCCCTCACACCTCTCCTCACACCCTACCCTCTTGCAGGGTGAGCTCATGCAGTGAGAGAGGGGGGTGGGTACACCACTTGGTGGCGCAATGGGTGGGATTTGGAAAGGCTGCTTGGAGTGTGCATGTGGGAAGTACTCAGGGAATGCCAGGGAAGCTGGGGGACAGACATGCTCTGGAGTCTTGCCCAACAGCAAGAGACAGACCCAGGGTATGGCTTGGTCTTTTTATTTAGGAATGGGTAAGTGGAGATCACAAGGGCTTTTCTTGGCTCCCTAAGGCTTCAATTTGCTATTCCACCTTTAGATATTCATTCATCTATGTCTGGATTAGTGCCCTGTGCATTGTGTATCCATTAATAAACTGGGTGCTAGCCTGGATCATGGTTTCTTGGGAATTAGCATAGAGTTGCCGCTTTTCTTTGAGGACAAGCACCACTGAGGGAAGGGGAGAGGGAAGCAGATCTAGAAAAATTACAGAGTTTGGGGTTCTACAAAACAAAGTCCAGGCCTCTCCTTTGAGAATCTCAAGTGATTGTGGGAAAAGGCAGAAAAGGGAGAGGTTAAACAGACCCTGTCTGCTTCATGGTTAGACATGGAAACCTTTGTGGAGAGGATAGGGTAAATTGCCACTAAAACAACAACAACAAACAGTATATATTCACCCTAAGATACCTGGGGAAGACTGTGGAAGATATCCCTGTGGTGGGGATAGGAGGAAGGTAGAGAGAAGTTTCAATAGAATCAGAAGGTTGAGGCCCCAGCAGCTGTGAGATAACAAATTAGGCAACCTCAGGGTGATTTTGCTCGGCAGACAGAGTTTTTTACCCGCTGCGGTGAAAAAGGTTAGTGAGAAGCAGAATGGAAATGGAGGTGGAGAAGTGGAGTTGAAGGATGAAATGAGCAGAGTCAGCAGGTACCGGGCGGTCAGGAAGCCCAGATATTCACAGAGCCAACTTGCACTGACCATAATCTCTGTTTTCCACTGTATACCGGATTCTACCACCTCCTGTAATTGTGCAAATGTACCCATCTTTATGAAAATTATAGAACATTTTACATCTACCTTATTTGATTTAGTTCTCCCAACACTTGTCCAAGGCAACTATGGCAGGTTTTTTTCACTTGTTAGCAAGCAGGGTCAGAGCAGTGAAGTGACTAACAGCAATTCTCAACTTGTAACTCCCATCTCCTAACTCCCATTTCTGCGCCTTTTCTGGAATCCTACAGAACAATGCTTTTTGTACACTTTGGCTCTCTGATTATCCAGTCTTCTTAAGGGATTTTCTGAAATTCACTTTAGTGTATGTGCGTGTTTGGGGGGTTGGAGAAGGGAGTAGTAGCAGGTGGGGAAAGAGGTTCCCTCTCCCCCACGATGCTTCTCTCAGCAGGTTTCCCTCAAGAAAGAGCAGCTGAGTCCTTGCATCTTGTGGCAGCTGGTGTTCCCAGCACTGAGTCCGTCGGAGCTGAAGCCAGCCCGGCCCCCTCTCATGGGCAGCGCCCACCTGTATTGAGGTCCTGCAGCGGTGGCAGTGTGAGGTGAGTAATGGATTCCAGGGCAGGGAGTTAGGGATCTCTAAATCCTGGTGAAAGCTACCTTTCCACCAAAGCTCCCCCTATCAAAGACCCTATTTGGGTCTCACCAGTTATGCCTTGGGACATGACCACTATTTTCTGGGGGATTTTTCCCAGTGCAGCTGCCCTTGGTCTTTTGATTCCCCTATCTCTAATATGGGAATGACAGCTCTGACCTCCATCTTGGGGGTGAGGAGAAACAACATAACAATTATTGCCAAGTCTTTTGCAAACATCAAGCACCATCTAAGAGCTTCAGTGTAACATAGGCATGCTTCCCATCAAGCTGTCATTTTCTTTTCTCCTCCTTCCCTAATGTCTAAGTGGCATTTCAGCCACATGCTACAAATCAGCCAAACAGTTTCTGTGATTTCGACTGCCCCATAACCTAAATTTTACCTTTCTATTCAAAGTGTACCCTCACCCCATCCACCCCTGTTTCTGGGCCTGGCAGTCCTAGCTTAAACCTTCCTGAACCTTCCCTCTGCCTTTTCACCCAACCAGGGCACACTTCTTCCCCCAGCTCTCCAGCAACACTAAAGTCTGTGGCATGCAGTGTAGCCCTTGCTTATCTACTGCCTTGAGTAATTCTTGCATGAATTCTGGAGTATCCTTCCTGGCAGGTAAACTAGACTGTAAGCGCTTCAGGGGCAAGGAACTGGATTTTATAGGTCTCTAGTCTCCCTTACAAAGTGACCGACAGTTCCCTGGCACCTTTTTAAGTTGGGCCTCTCTCTCTACCTCTGCACCTCTTTCAGTTTTCTCAGCCTGCTTCTCTCATCACTCTTTGTCTCCCTCTTAGGCAGTCATTCTAGCTTCCTCTGTCAGCTCCTCTATCTGGCCTTCTGTTGTTATACCCAGCAGTCCAGCTACCTATTCTTCTAGCTTGCTGTTCTTCTGTCTCTCTGTCTGGTCCTCTATCTGTCTCTTTGTCAGCTACTTAGGTGTCTCTCCTATTACCAAAATCAAAAAACAACCAACTAAAGAAAAAGAAAAAAACACCCAACAAGAAAACAAACTAAAATAAAAACAAACAAGGAATACACAATGCAGTTCTCTTTCACAATGAGTGTACACGGGCTACAGGACAAGGTAAAACTGCAGCTCAGTGGCAGGTGTTTCTGTGATGCCTTCTCATGAAAGGGAAGCTCCAGAGTTTCAGCCGTGGAGTTGAAGGTATGAAATTACAGCCTTACCGATACTGATGCATTCAACTTCTTAGAGATGTTCTGGTAGGAGATCCTCTATAGACCTTGACTGACAGGAGGTAACTAGAACGGACTAAAATAAGAAGCAAGCCTCTGGATCTCTCCTGGGTGTTCTGTGACAACTGTAATAATAACTTTTATTTGTTGAGTGTCTGCTGTTGCCAGCTCCGTGCCAGGCACTTGACTTGCATGATAACATTTTCTCCTACAGTCACCTGCAAGGTAAGTATTTTTTCTAATAGTTATTGTTTCTGACTACAAGTTAGATATTATCATCACTGTTTTATCAGTGAGGAGATAGAGGTTGAAAGGAGCTAAGTAACTTTTCTGTAACTGGAGACCTGTGGTGGCTTTGGAAGGAAAGACACTTCCTGGAGAGTTTCCGAGCATCCCAAGTTATTTGGTGCCCTTCAGTTCACACACACACACACACACGTACACACTTCACACTTACCTCCAAGACTCACGCTCACTTTTTACACTGGGCTTCTTCAGAGTGGTGGGCATTCTTACCCTCTGACCCTCACACACAATCACACTTACAAACACACTACATTCAGGCACATTCATACTGCCACATGCCGCCACACACATATATTTGTTTAGTCACATTTCATATGGACCCACATTCACACTTATTGTACACTCACCCTCATTTTCACACCCACTCACACCTTTATGCCATGGATTGCATTCTCTTACACACATATTTTTGCACCCACTCACACTCACACAGGTGACACAATCACCATTACCTGCTCAAATTCCTACACAACCACATGCCCTCTACACACAGACACACATTGACTTCGCCCTTGCTCTCACTCAGACTGCTTCTCATACAGCCACACACACACTCAATTTCATGTATCCCAACATGCATGCACGGATATCATCATCGTTTCCACCTCACAGTCACACACGCAACTCTTCTCAGCAACACACACGTGTGCACACATGCTCCTAGACACATTTATGTGTGCTCACCCCGTAAACGCCATCTCAGCCACTTGCACTCTTACACTTTCTTGCTCTCTAGCACTCAAAGTTACATTCTTGTACTCATATACAGAGCACTGAAAGCATCTCCCTACTCCTGTCACGTTGACACATAATCGCATGTGCACGTGGAAGCACATTTTGACACACATTCACACTCAGACACACACCTTCTTCACATTGAGACATAATCCATCGCAGTCTACACCAAACTCACAGGCATACACCCTGAAATAAAACCACACACACACTCATTTTTGTAAACTCAGCCATTTTCGCTGACAACCATCACTCTCCCCTCTCACACTCATACACAATCACTTACACACCCAGCCATATTCACATTGACACGCACTGACACACACCTGTGCTCACTCAGATGCAGTACTTATACAAACCCACATTAACACACAGTCACACTGCACACCCATGTTCACGTACTTATACTCTCACACTCTCACATTCATAACCACACACTCCAAATTATACACTCTCACACATTCCCATGGACACACAATCATACTCACATACATTGACATGTACACCCTCTCACATACCAACTCCCACTTGCACGTCACACATTTTCACACTGGCACAATCACACCACACACTTACATTGTTATATATTCCCACTCTCCTGCTCTCATACTGATGCACTCTCACTCATGTTGCTACACACAGTCATATCAGGGCACATGTAGTGACAGGCATAGTCACTGACCTGCATTTATACTGGCACACACCATGCTGACACACACAACTCACATTGCAACAGTCCATTCACATATATACATACATGTACTTACACACAGGTAGTTACCGATCCCACACACGTTCATATGGACTCACACTCTGCCTGCAACATCCTCACTTACGTGGATACACTTACTCACACTGACCCACGTGCCTGTGCAGTTACACATTCTCCTGTAAACCGCCATATACTCTTCTTTTTTGAAACTTGTGAATTGTTTATTTCTGTAATTTTCTCCTCTTTTGCGTGTGGTTTTTGGGGATTTTATTTGTTTGGGGTTTTTTTGACAGTTTTTTTATTGAAAGATAGTTGATTATATATATTTGTGGGGTACAGAATTGAATATGTTGGTCAAATCAGGATAACTAGTATACTCACATTTACAAAATATAATCAGTCTTTGTGACCCTTAGCTAATTTCTCACTGAGCCTCCTCCCCCTCTCCCACCTCTAATAACCACAGTTCTGTTCTCTCTTTTCTTTTTTCGAAAGTTTAATGTATTATTGTGATTCTTTCTTTCTTCATTCTTTCTCTCTCTCTTTCTTTCTTTTGTCCTTCCTTCCTCCCTTCTTCCTTCCTTCCTTCCTTCCTTCCTTCCTTCCTTCCTTCCTTCCTTCTTTCAGCTCCCACTTGTGAGTGAGGACATGCAGTATTTCTCTTTCTGGGCCTGGCTTATTTCACTTGACATAATTTTATCCATGTTGCTAAGTTTATTCATGTTGCTGCAAATGGCAGAATTTCATTCTTTTTTAGCATTATTTAGTATTTATTATTATTATTATTTTAGTGTAGTATTCCACTGAGTATATATACCATATTTTCCTTATCCAGTCATCCATCAATGGACATTTAGGTTGGTTCCATATCTTGGCTATTGTAAAAACAGAGCTGCGATGAACATGGGAGTGCAGGTGTCCCTTGAACATGATGATTTCCATTCCTTTGGGTATAATACTCAGCAATGAGATTGCTGGGTCATACTGCCATGTACTCTTACTCAGACTCTTGCATGGACACATTGACACTGGTGTACACTCCCTCACCAAGATAATCACATTGACCCCACATCTACTCACGTTGATTCACAGGTACTGATAGTGACCCAGACTGTCATGCACACACTCATGCATACTTTCCCAAACTGTTACACGTGGGCAGTCAGTGGCCAAAAGAAGAGTGTCGGTCTCATCCAGGGTACCAATGAGAAATAGATCCTTCTACAACAGAAAGGAGCAGAATTTATGTCTGAGATTAAAAAGAAATAGCACAAATAAAAACGAATGAAATACTGCCATTTGCAACAACATGGATGGACCTTGAGAGAATAATATTAAGTGAAACGAGTCAGGGAGAGAAAAAGAAATACCACATGTTTTCACTTATTGGAGGGAGCTAAAGGTGAATGAATCAATTCACACACATACATACACACACACACATACACACACACACTCTCACACACACACACAAAAACAAACAAACAACTTGAAGTTCTTACAACAAGCAAATGGAGGGGACACACTTGGGTGGGAGGGGGGAGAGGGAGGAGGGAGGGAGGTGTCGGTGATGGGACATAATAATCAACTACATTGTATATTGACAAAATAAAAATAATAATAATAAAAAAAAGAAATAGCACAAATCCACAGATCAAGATTTCTACCCTTTTCCACATAGTTTCCTTTTACAGAGATTGTCTCTAACAGAGCCCTAGCCAGTCCTGTCTAACAGAGGTTGGAGTTTAGATGATGTGTTTATTTTCTGGAAGTTTATGGCTTAACTTGCCACCTCATTTCTCTTTCAAGGGGAGGAAAAAATGAAGAATATGTTTACGCATTCTTAATGGTTTCCTATGCAAAAGCGTGTGTCTCTGGTTTTATGTTTATGATCTGGAATGGCCTGCTGATTACACCCATGGAAAGAGCAGACCTGCTTCCACTAGGCATCTCTAATCTAGCCAGGTCCACTTATGTCTTGTTAACCCTGGAACATGGTGTTTAAG